CCCTCAGGACTTCACATTTCTAGTGGCAATGGGGAGCACTCACTTGTCAATCACCTGACATAATAATGATGGTGCATGAACTGCTTTTGCCCACATGGAAAAACAGCTGATTAGCAGTGCTTGCAAGCAACAGCTGTGTTTTTACCTGCCTCACAGGTAAAATCATATATAGGCATGGCTGCACCAAAACAGCCTGAAAGGACAAATGAGAAGGCCTGGGTGCCAGGACCTTGGTGCCCCACTATTAAGAGCCAATGGGAGATTTGGGTCATGTGATAAACAGTTTACTGAAAAGAAAAATATTTTATTAAGACCTCAGATTGCTCTTTCTTAAGGCTAGCTTCATACATTACTTAAGAGAGTAAAAAAGCATCAAGGATTATATCCAACTAAGTTTTATTCAGAGTAGACCTTCTGGAATTAGTGGACCTGATAGTCATGTCCATTGATTCCAATGGGTCTTCCTGGAGTAGAACTAACACTGGATAAAACTCCAAGTGTATAAACAGTGGCCTGACAGTTGGCTTAATCCAGCAGGGCTCTTATGCACTTAAGGACATGAAGGCAAGAGACCTCCCCCCATTGTTCCCCAGCAAATGGTCTTCTGAAGCGTACTGCCTCTGAAACTTGATACAAGAAAGCATACAGTCACCAAGAGCTCCTTCCCGACCAGCACCAAGTTACTAAAATTGTGTTGATCTACTTTAAAAGGCCACCAAAGTAGCAAGCAAGCATAGAGCTGCATTCAAGACTTCAAGTGTTAGCTTCTGAGTGATGGAGAAATTGCTGTACCCCAAGGAAGAGACTTTTAATGCTTGACCAATTTTTTTTTTAATGTAAAATATGTGGCTCAAGGCCAGGAGAAGGTCTACGAAGGATAAAGCTTCCTCTTTCAAATCATCTCATGGCAATGAAAAACCTTGAGAATGTGTTTTCTCCTAAATGAATAGTTGATATGCTTGGTTTGCAAAGATCCCATGAGTCCCAGAGGCAGGACTCAGCACATCTGAAAGCAGATGTTCAGAGGACAGCAGAAAAACAACCTTTTTTATCTCTCTTTTGGAGCCCGAAGGCACCCCATACAGCTCAGAGCTATGGCAACCCAAGGGAGACATGACTTAGGAAGACTCTACAGCGGGGCTTAGCAGGATTGTGTTTCTGCTGTCTTCACAGAAAGAAAAAATGATACATTTTTTAAAACAGCCAAGAGAAAGTCCTGGGCTCAGAGAGTTATATCTTGATGGGCATCATGTGCTGGTTGAGAGGAATGAACAAATCCCATGGCAGCACCAAATGAAGCAGATTCCAATATGTTAAAATAAGCCCCACTACCCAGAATTTGACCAATTCAGTATTCTAATATTTATTCAATGTGGGTGGCACACTCAATGCTGTACAAAGCTGAGGGCCAAATTAGATGTGATGATGGAGACCCCCAAATACATTCCCCTGCTGTTTTTAAAGCTGTTCATAGCACCTTGAGGAAGCAAGGGTAGAGATCTGGATCAGCACTGTTGTGCTGCAGAACAGGGGAAGGGCATTAAGCCTTCCTTCCCTATGAAAATACCCCCCAAAACTCCTACAAAAAACTGCCTACAGGATATGTAGGTATAACCCAGGAATGTGTATGTTTTCAGTTCTGGGCACTGCATTTCAAGGATTTAGACAAATGACTTCAGAAAAAGTCAATGAAGAGGGTCAAAAGTGCAGTCCTGTGGAGAAACGTTGATGGAACTGGGATGCTTAGCTTGGAGAAAGCCGTGTAAGCACCTGAAGGGCCGTCAGTTTTCTCTTTTTCCAGTTTCTCTTATTTTGCTAAAAGATATAGGGCTATCAAATGTCCAGGACAGACATTAAATATAAAAATACATACATATATTTGTGTGTGTGTGCTACTCTTCAAGAAGAAATAGGATTGTTTTGCACACTAGTGCCAGAAGCACTGTGATACCACTGTGTAACATTGGGGGGGAGGGGGGAGGGGGAGAGGAAAGCAAGTTTTCAGCCAATATTCCCCCCAAACAACAATTTAACATGCATATTCTGGGATTAAGGCCATATTAGATATCAGAATAGGGACACGAGTGGCACTGTGGGTTAAACCACAGAGCCTAGGGCTTGCCAATCAGAAGGTCGGCAGTTCAAATCCCTGCGACGCAGTGAGCTCCCGTTGCTCGGTCCCTGCTCCTGCCAACCTAGCAGTTCAAAAGCACGTCAAAATGCAAGTAGATAAATAGGTACCACTCTGGAGGGAGGGTACACGGCGTTTCCATGCGCTGCTCTGGTTTGCCAGAAGCGGCTTAGTCATGCTGGCCACATGACCCGGAAGCTGTACGCCGGCTCCCTCAGCCAATAAATCGAGATGAGCGCTGCAACTCCAGAGTCGTCCACGACTGGACCTAACGGTCAGGGGTCCCTTTACCTTTACCTTTAGATATCAGATTAGAACAGACTGAAATGAGTGGTGAACACTTGGCCAACATTATTTTTTCAAGAGCAACCAGTCAGATGCCTCTACAGTTCTCCATCAGGGCATGAAGGCTACTATCATCCACTGCTGCCTCCCCCCAGCCCATAATTGGTATTCATAGACAAACTGCTTGTGAATTTGAAGGTTGCATTTAGCTACCAGGAACTAATAGCTGTTGATAAATTTATCCAAGAATCTGTCTAACCCCATTTGAAAACCATTTATTCTGTCTACCTTAAGATCTGTCTTTCCCCCATCTCTACTCTTTTGCAAGCTCCATGCAACTTCTGAGGCCTTGCTCCATGGTCCCCTACTGAATTGTAGACTCACAGACCTGGAAGCAATCTTGGTGACCATCTGCATCAACAATGCCAGATCTGCATTGCAACGACAGCATCCCTGACAGATTGCTGAAGGCATTTAAGCAGAGGCTAGATGGCAAAGGAGAGTCCACAATCTCCCGAGACAGGCGCTACAGGCACTATTGAACAGTGTGTATATATATCCCACCTTTCCTCCAATGACCTCAAGGTGGTGTACACGTTTCTCTTCTTCCCCATTTTATATTTGTTACAACCCTGTGAAGTAGGTTAGGCTGAAGGATTGTGATTAACCCAAGATCACCTAGTGAGTTTCATGGCTGGGCAGTGTTTTAAACCCTGGTCTCTCAGGTCCTAGTCAAACACTCTAACCACTACATCATGCTCTTACCATTGCATAGTTTTATCCTAATGGGAACCTCAGGCTCAGGGACCAAATGCAGCCTACCAGGACTCTCTGGCTGGTCTTTAGGACTCTCCCCAGGCCACACAACCTACTGACCCTTCCTTGCACCCTCCTTGAATATTTGTTTCTGGCTCAAATGTGGCAATTTGCTCTGAGAATGCCTCTACCTTGCCTGCAAGCCACTGGCATTCTCAGAGCTCAATGGCACTCAGGGTTCAAAGCTGTGCCTGCAGGAGTGTGACATATGGAAAGGCCTTGGGGAAATTCCAAGGGCAGAGAAGCCTGAAGGGTCACAATGGGTCCCCGGTCCTGAGATTTTATCATCCCTGGTGTAGCAGAAGTACTTGTGTATTCAGGGGAGGGCCACAACTCAGAGGTAAAAGTATCTGCTTTGCATGCAGAAGGCCCCAGATTCAACCCCCAGCATATCCAAAAAGGTTCCCTGCCCCAATTCTATTGTATTTTAAACTGCTGTTAGTCGCCCTGAGATTATTTATGATTTATGATGAGGGGTGGGGTAGAAAGCTGAGAAATAAAACTAAAAAAAATAAAAATACTTTTCTCAATTAAGTTTACTAGGTATCCAGTAGTATTGGAGCTTTTTCAGTTGCCATGCCAGTTCCACAGAATGGCCTCCTCAGGGAGGCCCATCAAGTCCAAGCACATAGGGTTAAGACCTGGCTCTTTGAGAAGGCTTTGGGGTCTTTCATTTTCATGAAAGCTGGTTTTTGTTCCTCCCGCTCCATCTGCTTGGATTTTTGACTGAGGTGTGGTTGCTGAAATTTGTATAGTCTTTATTTATCTTTATTATTAATTAATAACTTGGGGCATTACTTAATCCCTTTGTGTTCTTATTACTTGGTTTTTCTTGGCTGCAAGCTTCATTGTTTTTGAGAAAAACTGGATTAAAAAATGTGTAAAAAAAACCATACACACAAAATCCTGGCCAGACTTACAGGATTCTTTTTAAGGAGTAGAATTAGATACTATATGTGAACCACTTTGAAAAAACTCAAAAGTGTTATATAAATGCCACTGTTGTGGTTTTCTGTTGACAGTTGCAGGGGAACAGCACCCCCTTGAGGAGAGCAGTGCAAATTGCAGCAAACATCTCCCCCAAAGCAACGCCTCTACTTTAAGAAACAGCTACCTTGTAAAAACCCAGATCCAGTATTGGGGGTCTCAGTTCAAGACAAAAATGCGGGGAGACACTCAGAAACCTCCAGTATGCTTATAACCAGAAGTTAACAGAGTCCCTTTTAAACACACACACACACACACACACACACACACACACAGTATCAGGCTATGTGGGGTCCAGTGCCACACCAATAATGCATTAAGAATGTTGCAGCCTCACCTTCCAGCAGGAGCCTGGACACAGATACCAAGAATGAGGCAACTATGGAGGCACTCAATCTGAACCCAGTAACAAAGGGCTCTCAAGCTTAAGAACTGAGAACCCAAGACTGCAGCCCTCAACCTCAGCTCTATCAAGTGATTGGACTCCTCAATGCCCAAATACCTTCCACTCCACCAAGCCATTTGAGCCTCTGTATCATCTCAACTGTCTTACATGAGATGAACCAGAATTTTGGGTCATTGAATTAGTGCTAACACCACACTCTAAATCCCAAGTTGACCTCACTTAATGGTTTCATGTAGATGCTGAACAGTAAAGATGAGGTGGAAACCAAGCTCTATGGAAGTTCTTAACCCGAGGTACTACTGTATCTAGAAATCATGTTTAAAAATAAAGCTGCACTTCCACCAGCTTTAGCAGCACCAGGAAACTAAATCTCACCTCACTCTGGTCTAGAGTATCCTGACTTCCCTTTGCCACAATGTTCAATGTGGAGATTTCAAGTTGATTTTTTTTTAGGTTTTGATTTGCCAAATGCAGCTCCTTCACGACTGAGAGGAGTTCAGCAACCTGAAAAAGCAAAAGGAAGCCTTTAGAGACTTTGGAAGCTCTTAACATTCTTCAGACTGCTTCATACATCATGATTTCAACAACCAATTTCTTAAAAGATACACTGTAGGTGTGCATTGCCTGCCAGTTGAAATTGTTCATGTTTGAAGTGTGTATGCATCCTTTCCCCCCCCCCCCCACTGAGTGTATACCCCAAGAAACCCATGACAGGGAGTTAAGAATCTGAGTACATGAAAAGAGCCTATTGGATCGGACCACTGGCCCATCTAGTCAAACATCTATTTCTCACTGCAGCCAACCAGCTGATGATGGGGATGGTGGCTGGCTGTTGTTGCCACATTTTCTACAAAATTCTACTCAAAGCAGTTAACAACAGAATAGCCCAAAGACAAATATACAATAACCATAATTAAAATAATACAATATACAACATACAACATTACATTAACAATTAAATAATAATTATTTTAAATCAGTAATTTTGGATGCATTTAAAATGAATAGTTTAACAAGCATAAGACATACCACCAAACCAATAAATATTCCAAAATAGCTAATGACAGTAATAACTACAGAAGATGCCCATGGCAGGCTTGCAATAAGGACCTGAGGGCAATGGCACTTCTGAAGAAAAAATACATTACAGTTGTAATAGGTAAACTCATTACAGTTCTTAATAGGTACACAATGTGGTTCTGATCTGTAATCATAACAACCACAGGGTGTGAGCAATGGTCCTTGGTATGCAGAGAAAGAACAATTCTTATTTCAATAACTCCCATGAATCTTGCAGCATTCTAAAGAAAAACAGACGTATTGTGCACTGTAAACTCTCATATGGATTACTGGAATGTGCTCTGTGTTGGGATACCTTTGAAAAGTATTCGGAAACTGCATTTAGTGGCACAGCATGTTTGTGGCTTGGCAGGGCAGAGTGCATATTACTTACAGTAGCCTTTCCCACCCTGGTGTTCCCCAGATGTTTTGGACTACAACTCCCATCAGCTCCAGTCAGGAATTATGGACAGATTAGTCTGTCCTGATGCCTGGAATCTGCAACTGCCTCTTGTACATTTATAGATCATGCAGGTCCTCCCTGGACCCAATCCTCCAAAAATCACCCACATCAGAGTTCCAAACAAAGAAGCAGGCTGGCATGCCCAAGAAATACTGGACGACTGTAAAGGAACAGGAAAACAATACCTTTCTCTTAAGCTCATCATGAGACAGCTGGTCCAACTGCAACTCCAAACCACCCTGGTCTCTTAAACAAATGCTCATGTAAGACGTCTGTTCTCCCCAAGAAGATATGGTTTCCTCTATTTTTAAAAAAAGAAGAAGAAGATAGCTTAATCTATATAATTGCATTGGAATTTCCTGCTCTGGCCTCGAAAAACCACCAATATATTTTGTAACTGAAGTACCCATTCAATGGAACAAGTTTACCATTATTTGCAGATCTCTACTCCCTTCTTACTGCTGTCACATGTACATACTCTGTGATTTTGTGCATGTGCTAAAAGTGCATATAATATGAAACCAGGTGCGGGATTCAGCAGTTTCTTACAAAATCAAGTTGTTAGTCCTTATGACTAAAACAGAAGGCTGAATGTTGTGTGGGCATTACTTCAGGAAATCTCAGAAATCAGCAGTGGGAATGAGTGTTCTGCAGGGATTTCTAATATCCTGAGGATAGCTCAGTTGGTTAGCGCATTGTGCTGATAATGCCGAAGTTGCAGGTTCGATCCCCATATGGGAGAGCTGCATATTTCTGCATTACAGGGGGTTGGACTAGATGATCCTCAGTATCCTTTCCAACTCTACAATTCTATGATTCTATGAACAGTTCAAAGGGACAGAATTATGGGAAACGATGCAAACATATTTTGTTCAGGGCTCAGAACTCAGCCATGCTTGCTGCAGATTCTGAGATGCCTTAGTGGGTAGATATTTTTTGACGTACATAATATACATGACTGTTTCTGTCTACCATGATGCAGCAAAGTAGTCAACTGACTGACAGACTTTGATGTGGTCAGAGGGGTCCAATACCAACATCAATATCAATACCAAATCAATATGAATTCATTTTCCTGCTGACAAACCCTCCTCCTCAGCCTCCAGGTTCTCACGCAGGGTCCTGCTCACCCATAAAAGTCTCACAATGAGAAGACTTCCTGGAAACAGCGGACATCACGCCAGTCTCTCACTCTAGGCTTGCTTTTATGGGCTGGTCCAAGGTGGATGTTACATCCTCAGGCTCCCTACTAGAGCTGGGCAATATCTGGTTTGCAACAATATGATATATCACCAGCTAGGCAATGTAATATACCAATATATCACAATGTCTGAAATAAGGATGGAACTATGTATAGGTGAACGAGGTAATGTCCTGGCAACTGATACTACTTAGGGGTCTAAAACTGAGAATTTTTAAAACACATTGTTACAACTGTTATTTTACAGTACAGATAAATTTTTAATTAGCACATTTTAATTAGCACATTTTCTCTTAAATTAAAGTTGCAGAAGTATAGCTAGAACTACAAACTAGAAAGAATGGATAAAATTTTACAGAACAAAAATTTATTAAACAACTTAATCTATTTTCAACTAATCGAAGAATAATTTAAGTAATTTACAAGTGTCAAGTTGCATCTGCTTCTCCACTCAGAGGGCCAAATGCACGAGTAAGCCCCAATGAGTTCAACTAAATGAACTTCTACCTCCCTGGGCGTAAGCCACATTGAATTCAGTAGGGTGCACTGCTTACTAACAAACACCCCATCATTCTCACCTCACAACTATCCAACCTCCTATTTCAGCATAAGGTGGCCAGTTAAATCTCCCCCTTCCATTTCCCCCTATTGTGATGCAGAAGCCTCACCCCCCCCCAAGCCCTCAGCCCACCAATCTCTCACTTTTTATCAAAGGGAGGCAGCGAGGGCAAGCAAACAAAGAGGTAAGTTCTTTAAAAAAGAAAAACCCTTCCTTTGTAATATGGAGGGAAGCTAATTTAGGGGGAAACAACAATGTAAGCACCAGAAAATGAAAATAAAAACACTTCCCCCCGTTTTTCTGCCAGTGGGACTTGGTGGACAGCAGAGAAGAAAAAGAAAGAAGCAGCACATAAGGAAGTATAGGGCTGGGGAAACAAATGTGTGAGAAAGCAAAGGGGAGAGGAAATAATTGGGGAGATTTCAAGGCTAAGGAGAAAATGGGGAGCATAATGAGGGGGGGACACAGGCAAACACACAAACATGCAGAAGATGAGAAACAAAGAGCATTGACAAGAGAGAAACAGGTGGGAGACAGAGAGGGGGGTAGGGAGGGAGGGAAGAGGCTTAAACAACAGGGCAGGCTCAGACCTGCATCTCCCTCAACCATTTACCAGCCTGGCACCTTAAAGCAAGAAGCTCATGGCGTCACCATCTATATTACTAAGGAAAGTTCCCAGTGGGCTGCTTTTGTCTGAAACTGCTCTGAGGATTGTTGCCCACTGCAGGAAGCAGAGAGCTCAGGCAAACTGCAGGAATCACGAGAAAAGCACTGGCTTCATGGTTTTTCTAACATCATAATACGTGATATATTGCCAGGTCAAATATTTTGAAACGGTTATCATGATGTGGATTTCAAACCAGTTTTGGATGATAGATCAATAAATTCCTCAGCCCAACTGCCCACAGCTGTGTCCCACACCCAGTTCCAGGTGAAGCAGGTTTATTGTATCCAGCCTCTAATCCTCATTCCACAAGGAGCTGGCCAGGGTCCTGAAACTAGTTTGCCCTCTTGCAAAGTCTTACTTGTAACCCTGTGGTGTCCTAGCCTAGAATATTGGGTAGACTGTAGCTCAATGGCAGCACACACACTTTGTATGCTGAAGATCTGTTTCAGTCCCTGGCATCTCTCGGTAGGGCTGGGAAGAGACCACTTCCTGAAGCCTTGTAGAACCACTGCCAGTCAGTGTAAACAATACTGAATTAGATGGATACTGAATGATCTGGCTCAGTGTAAGACAACAACCTATGTCCCTACATAAGAATAAATGGACTGTGTACACCATGGGTAGGTAAGCTAAGGGCCGGGGGCCAGATCCAGCCCAAACGCCTTCTAAATTTGGCCTGCAGACAGTCCGGGAATCAGCGTCTTTTTACATGAGTAGAATGTGTCCTTTTATTTAAAATGTATCTTTGGGTTATTTGTGGGGCCTGCCTGGTGTTTTTACATGCATAGAATGTGTGCTTTTATTTAAAATGCATCTCTGGGCTATTTGTGGGGCATAGGAATTCGTTCATTTTTATTTTTTTCAAAATATAGTCTGGCCCCCCATAAGGTCTGAGGGACGGTGGACCAGCCCCCTGCTGAAAAAGTTTGCTGACTCCTGGTGTACACTCACTACGTACGTGGTAACTGGGCTGCCATTTCAAAGCCTTTATGCATGTATGCATGTAGCAGAATGAACTAGCTACCCTGAAGTGGAAGAATGGACTGAAGCACTCAACTGTGGAAACCCCAATATTGATTGGTCGCCCTACAGAACAAGATCCTTGTAGGTAGGAAAGAAGCACAACAAAGAAAAAACTATGCTAGAACCTGAGCTAGCTTTTCACTTGAAGCAAACTGGTTGGTGTATGTGTTTTTAAATGCAAGGAAGCATTTATATTCAGCCAGAAGTCTACCACCTCGCTCTGCATCATGCAAAGATCAGGTCTGAATCCATTACTTTACACTGTCTGATAAGGTGGCAACACTGTATTACAAGCCTTACACTTCTTAAATTTTAGATTATAAACCCTACTAGGCATGAAGTTGTTTGCGAATGATTAAAAACTAAGTGCTTAGTACATGTTTAGGTGGTACATAACAACAGTAATGAAAAATGGTAGTGTAACAGCCTGCTAAAACGGGAGGAAATTGTTGCTACTTACTTCTGTCCCAAAGCATTCCCTTTAATTGAAATAATTTTTACCCTCACATTCCTTTGTAACTTTTTGACATTTTAGACGTATTAGATTTTTTACTAGCGATCAGTATGCATTGTGAATGTAATGCAGAATCATAATTTGCATATTTAATAATTTGGAGCAAATGCAAAGTAAAGGTGGGACAGGAAGGATAGAGAGAGAGAGAGAGAGAGAGAGAGAGAGAGAGAGAGAGAGACCAGAGATCTTGGGGGGAAACGCCAGGTTAATAACAGTGCAGAATATATATTTTTTGGTTTTGGTGCAACAGACTGTGGGAACTGAATAGAAAGAATGGTTTGTGCTATTTAACTGAACAATTTGTAGAAAAAGACCTGTTGTAATCAACTTATTTCAAATCCAAATCATCTGGGAAGGAGGTATAGTGACTTAGCAGATCTCCCGCATTTTATACCAGGGACAGATAAACCTAGTCCAGGGCAAAATGTGGCTTTCATGGTCTACCTGGCCCTCAAAACTTTCCCCACCTGCCATACCCCTCACTGGCCCTACTGCACACCTGAGTGTTTTTGGCTGGTTGGAATGCATCTGTGAACTCTGATAGTGTCCCTTGCTTGTCTGGTGGATTATAGAAAAGGGTGTGTGAGTGTGTGTATGCAGAAACTAGCCTAGTGTACAAAACGTACAATTTATATTCATTGCTCTGTCCACTTTTGCATCTGGACCCACCCACCACTGACGTATGGAGTCAAGAAGGTTGCTTGGAATGTGGCCCTTGCTCTGAAAATGTTCCCCATCCCTGCTGTGGTTCATAATTAGCTGCTTCGAATGAGCTATCTGTCATGGATGCTGTAGCTGAGATTCCTGCATTGCAGGGGGTTTAACTAGATGACCCTTGTGGTCCCTTCCAACTCTACCAATTCTATGATGCTATGAAAGATGCTTTGCCACATATTCTTCCTTACCTTCTCTTCTGTTAGCTTTGATTTGACTTTCCAGCACTCTCCGCAAATTCCAGTTAGCTAAGATGTCATCTTCTAGTTGCTTACGCAACACAGAAATGTTGTGCAACTCTTCTTGAACGTTATTTATGCTAAAATAAAATTCAAAAGTAAAAAAAATCAGTATGCTGAAGTTGTAAGGAGGCATCACTCATGGTTCATCAAACAGTTGGGGTCATTTTCTTGTGAACCTCTGGCATCTTTTATACATAAAAGAATTCACTCCAAAGCAGAAAGAACTAAACTCTCTTGAAAGCATGCAATCCTCTCATCTCGACGCACAGCATTAAAAAAAAAATCTTTACATAAGACGAAAGGAATAGAAACCCTTGCACATCTACATTCTGGCGTCTTTCAGAACCTTCAAGGCACACTTAATGGGCCAACTTCAAGCTCATTTCTCCCTCCCACAGAAAAAATCAGACTTAAGTACATTTCGCACAACACACCCTGTTGTTCTGCATCTATGAGCAACTCCTCTGTCACAGATATTTAGATTTATTTTATCTCACACATCTTCCACTGAACTCATGACTTCCACACTCAAGGGTGTCTGTATGTGTGGAAAAGCTCCACATTTTAATATAAATGTAGCTTATTTTAATATCAATTGTGACACAGGCAAAGCATCCAAGGATGGAGCTGGTTCTCAAAAGTAAAGGTCGTTGGGGATGATGACATGGCAAGCAAATTGGATCACATTTGCATGGTTAAAATAAGAAGGGGAACATGCTGCTGGCCAGAGTCAGGATGTTAAAAGACCTGAGTACGTAAAACTTTTCCCTGCCTTCTCTAGGTAGAGTGAAAAGTAAGCATCTGTGAATGCCAATGCTAAGGTTGCTTTTTAAGTCAGTCTAAGAAATAGGGAAAGAGAAAGAGAAATCTTCAAAGGAGAAAGGATTCATTTAACACTAATAAATGCTCAGCTCCCCCAACCAAAAAATAAAGATAATAAAAACACATTTAAAAAAACTATGTAAACCACAATAGGTGCTCCTTAAAACTCCAACTGCACCTGCCCTACCTCATACGGAATACTTTTAATAGGACAGGGGTAGAGAACTAATTACCCTCCTGAAGTTATTGGTCTTACAACTCCCATCATCCCTAGTCATTGACTATGCTGGCTGGGGCTGATGGGAGCTTGTGTCCAACAACTTCTTCAGGGCTACCGGTTCTCCACCCTTGTCCAGGCCTGCTCAGCATTGTCTATACCACAGGAACCTATGGCTCTCTGGATGCTGCCGGCTTATAGTTCCCCATCATTCTTGACCACTGGCCATTCTGGCTGGGGCTGATGACAGCTGAGAATCCAGCAACTTCTGCAGGGCTACAATTTCTCCATTTCAGCATTAGAAAGAGGCTCAGCTCTTTTGCTGTTTAGAGGCAATCAGTGCCTGGTTTCTGGCATCCAAGCGGAAGAAGCTGGCAAAAGTAGGAGCAAAATTAATAATAATAAAAAACCCAAGAATTAAGTATTGTTGGATTTTTTAAAAAAAAGAAAAAAGGCCACTGGCTTTGCCTAAAACGCTTAACTGTAATGAAGGTCATTCCTTCTGGGTCCTAGCTGACAGCAAGAGTTAGTGCTGTTGCTGCGGCAGGGTCATTTCTCCTCAGGTGGAGTGTCACCTTCTCCTCAGGTGGGGGGATCACCTTCCCTCAAGTGGGGGGTCACTTTCCCCTCAGGTAGGCGGGTCAATTGCTATCAGGTGGGGGGTCAAGATTCCCTCGGATGGGGGGGTCACTTCTCCACAGGTGGCCCTTCCTCTCCACCTGGTGGGCCAGGGAGCAAGGAGGAAGTTGAGGCTGCAGTGGACATACAGTGGTACCTCGGGTTACATACACTTCAGGTTACAAAGGCTTCAGGTTATAGACTCTGCTAACCCAGAAATAGTGCTTCAGGTTAAGAACTTTGCTTCAGGATAAGAACAGAAATCGGGCTCTGGCGGCGCGGCGGCAGCAGGAGGCCTCATTAGCTAAAGTGGTGCTTCAGGTTAAGAACAGTTTCAGATTAAGAACGGACCTCCGGAACGAATTAAGTACTTAACCCGAGGTACCACTGTACAGGTACCATGAAAACACCAATTTTCTGCATTTTCATATTTCACTGCATAGGATGAGTTACATAAGGAGTTACAGTAAGCCTCAGGATCAGACACCTCCTCTCCATTATGACCATGAGATGATTGGAAACATCTGTTTTCATTTTAGATTTACATGGTTTAGCAATACATCCCAAACCCTAAAACTGTGGTTAATCTTAACCATAATTTATTAAAACAAGCCAGATTATTAAACTATGGCTTGGAGCTGGCATGTTTCAATAAACCACAGTTTAGACAGAGCACAGTTGATCAGGTTCAGACAACATCGGAAGCTGTAGTTAATCTAAAACGGAAGTAAAAACTTCCAATTTTTTGCAGCCATGCTGGAGGTGGAAGAGAACAAAGAAAACAAAATATAATGAAAAGAAGGAACCTAATTGTGCCTCTAGTGCAGACCATCGTAAGTTTCAGTGGGTACAGAATACCACTGGAGCTACTTGGTCTCAAAGTATTTTAATATAAGGGTGTAAGATTCCTCCTTATTACCAGAACTCTGGGCTGTTGCAAATGGATGACATCCCACTGATCTGATGAGTGACCAGACATCATTGTTTGTATTCAAAGGCAAAATCTGACACTCACCTATTGGTATCTTGCAGTGACTTTATTAGAGCTGAAAAAATGTCACGCTCTTTCTGTAGACCTTCCATTATTCCTGCAAATTCAGATTCCTTTGTTTTCTAATTTAAAAAACAGAAATACATACCAATTATTCTTAAGTAAAAATACCCTGGAAGAGTGCTTGCCAGCAAATTAAGAACCAGTCATAGAATGAATAGCAGAGGCAGAAACATTTTTTTCAAAACAAGAAGTACCCAAGAACAGTTTCCTCAGCTTAAAGTGGCTAATGTTCCCAATGTCTGATGAGTCAGACATCTGACATGTAGTGAGTGGTGAAATGAGACAAGACTTCCTTGGTTGTGGTGCTTATCTTGTGGAACTTTCTTATCGGGGAGACTTACCTAACTCCTTCCTTAATGGGGTTCAGACAGCAGGTTAAGATCTTGCTCTTTCAGAGGGCTTTTGAGATAAATGACCATTAGCTGCCCCCGCAACCCACCTCCTGATGCCCTACTTTAGCTTTGTTGAAATTCCTGAATAACTGCAGTTTCTAGGGCACTGCTATCTACTTGATTTTATGTTGTTGTTTTCTGTTGTTGGAGATCCTAAAGGACAGAAACGGGGCGGGTAGGTTCTCAATAATTTAAATAAGTAAGTAAGTAAAATAAATGTGTCCACCTGAGTGTTTAAAGAATCCATTTTCCTACTAAGACACTAGAAGACACATTCCCTTTTCTCTCTCTCTTCTCTCCCCCCCCCATGTCACTCAGCTGACACCACCAGCAAAGCATGTGTCAGATGTCTTCATTAAGTTAGCAAGTGCCAGAGACTACCACCACCTTATACATCTGAAATAACACTGTTCCCCCACCGCAGCCCAGATGAGGGAAAATAATCACAAGGTTTGTATGATGCATGTTTAGAATTATTAAAGAGCATATCCCAGATATGTTAAAACAAACTCCACAGTGGGAATTATTTCAACTGCCCTACATGCAAAGTGTTCCATTTGCCAAAGGGCACTGAACAGGGAACTGGATATGTTATCATTCTGTGTGCCACGTCATCATTGCAGGTGGCCTGCTTAATTCTTCATCTACTTAAGTTTCCAAAGCTTCAGGTTGTGCACACTTTTGCAGGGGTTTCATGCTGTGACCTTCTCTCATCTAGACAATAATTAACCTTGACTTTGCTTGCTTGCCTTCCTTCCTACTGTGTTATCCAGAAAGCCTCTCAGAACCTCCTCTTGCTAGATCTCATTGTCTTATCAACTACATAGTCTCCTGCATAATTTCCATGCTTGGTTCAAAGTACTGCTTCTGACCTTTAACAGCACTCTGTGACATGTAGTCACAGGAAGGACCACCTGCCTCCAGATATGTCTGCCCATAGGTTAAGATTTTTATCAGGCTCATTCCTCCCAGCAAGTCTGTCATACCAGATGCAACAGATGGTTCTTCTCAGAAGTGAACCTTCACAGTGGTGGCACTCCTAATTCTATGACAGCGATGGGGAACCTGTGGTTCTCTTAGGTGTTGCTGGACCACAACTCCCATTATATCTGACCCTTTATCATGCTCTCTGTGACTAATGGGAGTTGGAGTCCAACACCAGCACAAGTTCCTCACCCAGTTCTAAGAGTCTGGAAAGGGTAGAGGGGAAATTGGATGGTAGCTAGATAGACAGGGTGGATCAACGGTGCGGTATCTTTGTTTAGCTAAGAATATGGTAGTGGAGGGGGTGAAGAAGATGAATATTCTGACACTATAACTGTTTGAATGCTTAAGACACATCACAGAAAACGAGCACTACCACCAATCACCCGTGACAACAGACAGACATGCTAAATTCACTTGTGGTGGCTTTGCTGTTTCACTGTCAGCACTTATATTTCAGCCATTTGTCTGAATCCACTGATTACACATAGAAAGCATTAAACAGGTGGCTTCTGGATCCTTTCTTATTCATCACTGCATTTACACAACCACATCTTTATATTTGAAAAGCTTCTGACAAATCAACAGCGATGAGGCCATTAGGAGCAATATTGTATTCCTCTCTGCATATGATTACAATCTCTTCTATGGAAGGCATGAGTTATTCCAATGAGTTCCCCAATGAATTACAAATAATAAGGCAGATACATAGCCAACACAGGTTATAATACAGAAACAATTAATGAAGTATTCGACACCCTGACATACAAAACAAGTAGAGAAGTAAAGACTTGCTATCTGGAGATTCCTTACAAGACTCCTAACAGGAACAGCAGCTCGGACCTGAAAGCAATCTAGACAGGAGAAAAGCATGCTCCATGGGTTGACTGCTTGTCAGTTTGTTCGACCACCAGGTAGCCTTGGTTATCAGAGCAGTTCAACAATGTAAACTGTTGCCTAGAACAGAGGTGCCTTCCAGGCACCTCTCAGCATCTCTGATTAATGGTCAGCCTGGTATGTGCCAAAGCAATGATTCTTCAGAATCAACTTCATTGGACTGGTCACGTTGTTTGGATGCCTGGTTCCTGTCTTCCAAAGCAACTACTTTATTCCCAACTTAAGAATGGAAAGTGCAACCCCAGTGAACAACACAAGAGGTTTAAAGACGCTCTCAAGGAAAATCTTTAAAAATGTAGTATGAACACCAACAACTAGGAAGCACTGGCCTGCGAGAACTCCAATTGAAGAACAGTCTCTACCAAAGGTGTCATGGACTTTGAAGAAGCATGAACTCAGGATGAAAGGGAAAAAGAGCTCAGAGGAAGGCACATTTGGCAAATCCTCACTGTGATCAACTCCCACCTAGAAATCTATTTCACCACTGTGGAAGGATGTGCAGATCCAGAAGTGGCCTTCACAGTCACCATGGACACACTGTTAAGACCATTTTCATGGAAGATAATCTTACTCGCTACAAGTGATCGCCAAAGATGGGAGCTGGATCAGTTTAAGAGGCCTGTGGTGAATGTAGAACACTGCTCAAAGAATTAATCCTGCTAACTGCTTTAAAAGGCTGAGGCTGCAATTCTAAATACATGTCTCTGGGAGTCAATTCCATTGAACTCAATGTACCTTACTTTTGGGATTTCACTGCTAACTACACTTTTAAGTCTCACACGGTATAACCCCTTAGTTGATCCAAAACAAACCTGATAAAGGATAAGCCCCATTGAGCTCACTATAACTTTCTTCTGAGTAAACATGAGTAGTACAAGAGTACTATCTCCTGTCAAATGCTTAAGGCCACCCCATGGTTTGACTGGTCCCTTAGAGTTTGATTGATGATATCACATGACATCCAGCCTCTGAGGGCTGACATGACCTGCTGGGAGGGCATGTAACCCCTCTACGATCACAGCAGGCCACCATGGACCAATAGGATGAGGTTTTGAACCCCTAACCAAGTTGGGTTGACTTCATGACTTTATCCAGTATACTAAAACGATAAACATACCATGTTTATTCACAACTACTTGTGTTTCCCCAACTTCTGACAAACACATACTGTCACAGTGATCAATTTCTTCTAGATTAGGGGGTGTCTGGGAAGGAAAAGAAGAAATATGTCTATGTCAAAAAGTAGATTTCATTTAAGAAACCCTCTGTTGTTTACATGCCATTCTGGGGAGAGATGTAGCACCAATAGTTTTACATAGTCTCCTGAGATCCCATTTAACATTCAGCCTTTTAGAAAGGAGATAAAATAGTGTTATGTCGAATTTTCATAATCTTGAAATTCTTGTTAGTATCAAACCATCCTCCATGCCCCCACCCTGGCCCAGAACATATTCTTAAGCAAAAATGCAGATTTCAAATCATGAATACAGTTGGGTGGTACCTTATATCTTAAGAGATCCTGAGCATGTACTCTGGCTTTTTAACATTGTTGGCTGGGAATGTTAGCGCCCCCAGCCTTTTTCTGATGCACCTGGAAAAGAGCAGTCATATGGAGGAGCTAGAAGTTTGGCTAGCTAGGTCCACCCATGAAGAACAACTCTGCCTTAACTGCATCTGGTTTCCAGAAGAGAAGCTTACTTATATAGAGGTTGCCATTGACAGCGGATTTTTGCCCTGATGGAGTCATCCTGAAATACGTGGCACTAAACGAGGATCACCCCACTGGGTCATTTCTTTGTAGTAAAATCAGGACACTCTACCTGGGGAATTGATTGCAGATGGCCTTGCTCCTAAGTGACAAGTGGAATGCTGAGAAGCAGCTGTCGTAGCGATAGTACAAATACAACACAGAAACACATATGCATTTTAAATGTTTAATTGGTTTTTAACATTTTATCTTGTTGGTGTTATTTCACAATTCAAAATAATTTGAAGTGGGAGAAGGAACTACATCACAAGGAGCTGCAACATGCCCTTCCAATCATTTGAAAGTCCATGCCCCACACTGTTTAGCACAGGGTGGGCTATAACCTCAGATGGGAGAGGAAGGATCTCCCATAAAAATAGTAGCGTGTTGATGAAAGGTACACATCACTATATGTGTTCACAGGAGCAGGCCACAATGCACCCCCCAATTCCACTGGGAAATCTCCACTTCTTCTTTAAGCTATGGTATGAAGAATTGGACAGTGGAATCCTTCCCTTTTCACCCCTGCCTCCATTTCCCTCCCCTGTGATGAGTGAGAGATTGTAAGTCTCACAGGGCAGAGGCCTGAATGCTACTACTTCATGAAGTACTGTGCTCATAAATCAGTCCATGTGTTGCTGAACTACAACTCGCATCAGCCCAAGCTAGCATGATGAATGTGAAGACAGATGGGAGTTGGAGCTGAGCACTTGGAGGGCCAAAGTTCCCCATCCCTGATGTAGGTGGTGCTCTATAAAACTAACAATAAGATATATTCTTAGCCAGTGTACACAAAGAAGAATTTGGGAATGTTTCAAGTGTGTAGATAGGGGGAAGGGACCAATCTCATTTACAGAAACAGACCTGCCTTGCCTAAGGAACTCAACCCTGACAAGAACTTTCCCAACATCAATCACTTCTGAGAGGCTGAGTGCAATGTGTTCATGGCAATTTTGAAAGACAGGGCATGCTCAGAAGGGGAGAAAAAATCGCCCACATAAGTTTGAACAGTTGAGATGACTCAGCAACAACTGGCAGG